TCATTTTCTGTCAACCCTTACGATCACACTCATTTTTTAGGCAGTTGTGCTCACTGATTTTGTCATATTTCGTAGAAATGGTTCAACGGTAATAATGATAATGCTACCAGTTTAGAATTTCAGATTTCTTATTGTTCATTTTTGAGGCAGTTGTGCTCCCTGCAATTGCCTTCTTCTAAGCTCGTCAATCTACTATGGGGCAACACTTTGATGGGGTGATTCCTGTAGCTTAGAGGAATTTCAGATTACTATGTTTACATCTTATTATTATTATTTGTTTTATCCATGTTTCTAGAAACATGCCACCCTTCAAAATGTTGAAGTTTCTACTACAAATAAGGCTAGAAGTAGCTCAATTTCTCAAAATGTTGAAGTTTCTACAGTAAGCTTTATTCTTATTAGAGAGGCTTACATCTTGCTGCTATAGCTTTCAGCTGCTTTGCATAATTCATGAGGGTGTTGATTGAAGTTATTTTTGGCTGCATTTTTTTAATGAAGATTAGGTGTTAATGTGTAAATACATATGAATTGAGTGCTATGTATGTCAATCTTCCTCTCCCCCTCTCCATATATGCATCCATCCATCGATAGAATTGTGTGGAATGCATGTAAATAACCCATATGTGTGTAAAGGCGAGAAAGTAGCCTGGATGGATAAATACTGAAGTATGGAAAAATATCGCATACTGCCTGTATATTTCGAAAATTGGCTTGGGCATACAAATGTGGCTTGAGCGTCTATGTTTTTTTATAGGAAGCCATACAATGGTTGATGTTAAGCCTCGGCCCTCCTCTGCATCCTGCTAAAACTTCTCCTTCAATTTATAGGCAGCTTCGATGGCCCGTGTCTATTAGGGCAACCACTGCTATGAAGGATTTTCTTTAGTGGCTGATGTTTCCTTACAGTTCAGTGGCTTGGCTATATATTTGTGGCTTGATACATTGCTTGCAAAAATGGGGGTTCTCTTTATTCTGCTAGAAGAAATGTTAGACATGTTGGGTGATTAAGCAGCTTGGATGGATGGCCCATGTTTGGGTGTGGACTGAAGTATTCCCTGAAGCATGTATGTAAATGCAACAGTCTGAAATATAATGTGGTGATCTTAACAAGGACCTTGGAAAGGATGATGCTTTCTATTTATGAAGTTTTTGGTGGCTCGTTAAATCAGATGGTTTTATGAAGTATTATATTCTTTCCTTAGATTAATGAAGACAATGGATTACTATTTATTATGCTTGTCTTAATACTATAATAGATTATTTGGCAATCTATACATTTCTCTGCTACCAAATGTGGCTCAAATTCCAAATGTGGCTAGCAGTTTCCTCCATGGAGACCACCAGCCACTTTTTTCTTGTCCAGTTGAGTTATCAGGGCGAGGGTAATTTATATAATATAAGTTATATAATTCATATATTCTAATATATATAATTATGTAACACTAAAAACCCTAACCCCGGCCTCCACATTCACCTCTCAAAAGTTTTTGGGCCTCGGCCGCGATAACTGAGATTTGTCGCTTTTGTCTTCTAATATCTACTTCTATTTCTCCGTTGGCTCGATTGTTCGCCATTCTTGCTTGGTTGCTCGATATTCTTCTTGGTTGCTTGTTTGGCTACCAAGTTGTTATCTTTGAGTATCTTTTCTCTAATATTTCATATTTTTCTTTGGTTACGCCTCTTAGCTTAAACTTTTTTAAATTTCTTTTAGGTTTATTTAGATTTTTTGAGTGAAACCTAGTTTTTTAGAGTTTTGGCAGGGAAACCTCGCATATTGCATTTAGACCTGATTTTTTTATGGATGAGATCTGATATAAGGTTTTATTGTGAAATTTAGTTCGGTTAATGTGCATTTGTGCAGTGATTCATAACACGTTAAGTGTTTGTGCTATGGCTCGGCTATTGCATCTAGATTAGATTTTTTTTTTTTATGATTGTCAAGAATAATATGTTTTTTTCATTTAGTTTTTCCGAACAATAACACGATATTTCCTTTTTTTTTTTACAATTTCATCAGTTTCACTTTGGTGGCTTAGAGCATGCATCTTTGTGAAGTGCATGTCCATGGGTATATTATTCCCATTTTGCCAAAACCTAATGTGTGGTTTTATGTATGCTAAAAAAATAATATGTTGCTCAGTGCTAAATTTAAAGTTGTAAGTTGGCTTCACTTGTTTTTGAACAAAAGAGTGCAAGCAAATCAAGCATAATCCAACTATAATATTTTGATACCGAGTCCTAACCAGTTTATATCATATTCTCTTGTCTACATCGTTTGTGGTTCGAGTGCTTCCCAGTCGGACAACTTTGCTCGCGGTTCTGGGGTGTCAGAACCGTGCAACATTCGTCGTGATATGCTTCTATATTTTAAAGTCAATATTGTCGTTTTTTTACTTGTAATTTTAACATGTTATTTTTTCTTTTTTTTTGTCTCATGATACTCTATATCAGTGTGTGAATGTATTTTCACTTTTTTATATATAACTATGTTTCTTTGATGTGATCAGAAATATTTGAGTGATATAAATGTAAAAACAAAAGCATTGGTGTGAGATATGTAAATGTAGAAGAATTAGTTGTTTTATATTATTAGTATTTTGTTGCAGCTTTAACATTTTCCCACATAATATCGTTGCAGCTCAGTGCTACTGTAAGTTGGCCTGAACAAAAGAGTGCAAGCAAATCAAGCATAATCCAACTTTAATATTTTGATACCGAGTCCTAACCAGTTTATATTATATTCTCTCGTCTACATCGCTTATGGTTCGAGTGCTTCCCAGTATGACAACTTTGCTCACGGTTCTGGGGTGTCAGAACCGTGCAACATTCGTCGTGATATGTTTCTATATTTTAAAGTCAATATTGTCATTTTTTTCTTGTAATTTTAACATATTATTTTTTCTTTTTTTGTCTCATGATACTCCATATTAGTGTGTGAAGGTGTATTTCACTTTTTTATATGTAACTGTATTTCTTTGATGTGATCGTAAATATATAAATGTAAAAACTAAAGCATTGGTGTGACATACGTAAATGTAAAAGTGTTGGTTGTTTTATATTATTAGTATTTTGTTGCAGCTTGAACATTTTCCCACATGATATTGTATTATTGTCTCTAGAATTTGTTTTGGAAGTTTTACATACACACAACTCAACTCTTTTGTACTTTCATGTCTTAACATTTGAACTTGTGATTTTACAAACTTTAAACATTCCCAATAAATCAATGTTATGTTGCATCTCCAAGAATAGTAATGAATATCACAAATTTTACTTATACGATTTCCATGAATCCCTCTCCCTAGTTGTGTTTGTGTGTGTGACTGCCAGCTACCCTCTTTGTGATTGGGAAATGAGTAGTTTTTATTTCTATAAATTCATGAATCTTTGGTTTTATCTCCCCTATATGATTGAATTAAGAAGGTTGGTAGATTGTAAATAACAATTTTTGGGTGGTATGTATGTGTCGAATGAGTTTGAAGGGGTTTAACTCGAGTTGGTAGATTGTAAATAACAATTTTTGGGTGGTCTGTATGTGTCGAATGAGTTTGAAGGGGTTTAACTCGTTATAAAGTATCTATGGGATAGAGATTGCAGTTTTGTTGAAAACATAACAACTTCTGCGTGTCAGATTGTTCATTTATCTAAAAAAATTGTAAATCAACTGTTTTCAAAACACACAAATCAAAAGTTAAACAACTTATTCAAAAGAGAACTATAGTAGTTTATTCAGAATCAGTTGTTTTCCAAATGCACAAATCAAACAGTCAGACAGCTTATCCGGATCAGCTGCTGATCAGCGACTTATCATAATAAGCAGCTTATCTGGATAAGCTGCAGCTGTCCCAAACAGACCCTTAAGCTTTGTAGTGCTAGGAAAGGTTTAATGAGCAAAGAATTGAAGCTAATTAAAAGTTTGTTTAACTTGTCATCTGATAAATGAATATAAAAACGCCTCCATACTTCACCACGCAGTTGTTTCAAGTCATGTAATATGTCTTTAAACATTCAATACTTTTGCTTTTCACAGGATGAGAAACTTTTGCATGTGTATTGACAAAAGATTTAGTTAAAATAGCCAAAAACAAATGCAACTAATATTAAGAATCAAACCAAAACTTGTATCCACGAAATGTTTGCATCTTTAGTCTTATCCTACATCGTGTATCATAAAACAGATTGAACATCCCATATTCATTTCTCTTTTAACAAAAATCATCCATAATACAAATGTTACCCTCTCGCATCCAAAATTCCAAGGGATATAACTTCACATGGACAACACATATAAGAACATAAGTTGATAAGAACAAATATTCTTGAGAAATCTTTGAAGGTTTTCTTACATTTACCCCACTCACCTATGAGTCTTAAAGGGAATCAACGGGCAAGGACCTACACACATGCACACAGCTAAGGCACTGCCAAACAAAAAATTAATCTTCAAAATATTTAGTTTAAAAAAAACCTAACATCGAAGAACTTCAGAACCAAAATGTGTCCAGGTGCAAAAACTCAGCTTCCACTGTCCTTTCCAAAACAAACAGTTGACACAATCTCCTTCGCAATTTCCCACTTCCTCTCAAAAGTCCTTTCAACCAAACAGCTAAAGCAATACACTTCAACAACATGCCACTTCCCCTCAAAAGCAAACAAAGACATAAAATTAGATAGACATAGGATAGTAGCAAATAAGTTATAACAGAGCACATGTTGGTAGCAATTCCAAACCCCCATGAAAAAAAAAACCGGCTGCTTAACACGGAAAAATATGATAAAAAAAATCAGGCTATAGTTTCTTAAATCCCCTCAAATAAAATTTTGAAAAATAATGACCATTTTAATTAAGCCTTGATGCCATTTTTGAAAACCTTCTGCAAATACTTCACGAAAAATTTAACAAACACAGAAACCCCTAATGTCACTCATATGTGTTGAGTAAACTTCAAAAATAAACTATAAAGCATAAAAAAAAAGAGAAAGAACAATTAAAGTATTACCGCGGGACCATAAATGACTATAATGCGATAATCTGTCTTGGCAGAAGTCTCCAGGACTTTAATCTCACAGCCAGTTTCATGCTGCAGGTTCTTCACAATATTACCTCCCTTTCCAATCACACATCCAACCATATCATTGGAACACAACAATTGAAAGACAAGAACCTCTGGAGCAACAGGCATCTGTCCTGGTACAGAACCTTCGTGAAACTTAGGAAAATACGAAATGTCTTTGGCATCAAATGACGTCCTATTAAGATGAGGTGGGCCTTGAATGGGCAGATAATTTTTCTTGTTAAAAGCCTCCGGGCGAGGATTAGAAGCATATGTATGTGATGATGACCCGAGAAGATCGTCTACAGGGAAATCACAATCACGAGGTGGATTCTCCGTGAGCTTCTGAGAAACTGATTGGAGAGCTCTCCTTCTAGACTCTACACTTCCAGCGATCTGTACTCCATTGTGATGTACAAAAATCACCATCCATTAGAGATTTCACATTCAATATATTACATGTTGAGCACTGAAGTTGAATATAGAATAGTAAAAACCTGGGTGAATCTTCCAAAAAATATAATAGCAACAAAGAAACCAATGCTAAAAGCCAGGTTCAAATAAGTTCCAAAACTACTTTTGTACTTAAAGAAAAAAGGGCATTTAAATATATAGCACAGAATTCTTTGTACACATAACACTCGAATGTTTAACATCACATCAAAAATAACACTATTACCACTTTTTAAATACACCTTTTCATGAATAGGTTTAAAGCACCAAAGAACTATATATGTAAATATGAAAATTTAGGTTTGAGATTAAGAATATCTAAGAATTTTGTGCTGGGTATGCAAATTTCCAAAATAAAAAATCCTGCCCCACATAATAATTAAGGAAACAACTATCAAGGAATGCCCAGGTAATAAAGGTAGCATATTCAAGCATGCATTCAGATTGAACAATCCAATCATTACCTGCACAATTTCTTCACGTGGTGATGCACACAAAGGAAGCTTGCTCCTGGGAAGTATACGGATTTGGGCTCCACTGTCAGTCGACATCTGCTTGATCACACTTCCGCCCTTTCCCAAAAGACAACCAACTTGGTTGGACAAAACCAGCAATCTTATAAAATGAGATTTCTTATTAGTCTTATCTGCATCATCATTCTCCTGCTCACCTTCAATTATTCTCTCAAAGATGAGCAGCAAAGCCTTTTGAACTGAAGATGTTGCCTTCGCTGACTTTGAACTATCAGTAGTGGAAGAATCCTCCTTTTCTTCGCAATCCTCTGCACTAGCCCTACTATCCTCCCCGTCATCAGAATTACTATCACTATCATCTAGTTTGTTTTGGACATTTCTAAACTTAGAATAATTTGCAGGACCACTTATAGTTACAACTCGTTCATCACAGCCAAAAACAGTATCTTCAAGTTTTATTCTTGTACCAGTTTCGTGACGTATTTTTGCAATAATGCCACCTCCTTTACCAATCACACTTCCAGTCTTTGAAGAAGGGCAGAGCACACGAAAAACTACAGACCCTGGTGGCACTTTGAATTGATTTGGCTGGGAAACAGATGGAGAAGTCTTCTGCCACTTTCCTCTTCCATTCGGCTCATTAGGATAGCGTTCAAAAGGTCGCTTGGAAGATGTAAGTGGCAAAGCCATGCTTGACTTATGTTATTGACAGTTGGTCTGACTATTACCTATGGTGAAAAAAGAGATTTTTAAGCATGAATTAGCCATCAATATTACGCACCAAATAATGATATGGGCGACAGGATTTGTAAGTTTAGTACTTCTCCAAAGAATTTTAACGTATTATCACAATGAACCCAAAACTAAATCATCTTTGAGAAGCCACATGGGAATAATTTTACTTAATAAATGCAGGTAACCGAATTGGGTTTTACATGAAATCCTGTTGGGTCTTTAGTAACAGAAACAAAGATATGCTACAGCGAAAAAAAAAAAAAAACGTATAAGCTGTCTTTAGCACAAGTTTTGGTTCAATTAAAACGGAAGGAGATCCAGTTGATTAGTTGGAATCAAAAGAAAATTTTTAAAAGCAAAATACCTCAATAGTTTTTTCCACATACCAAAATCAGTGAAGATTCTTGAAGGAGATAACAAAGTTGGATTAAAACATTAAAATAGGTGAATATTGGCTCTATTTGCAAAATAAGAAAATCACACCTTATCTTGCTTTTTTTTTTCTATTTGGTTAAGAACATACAGCCAATCCTCCATGCGAAATTTTTGGCAGGAAAGATAACGCATGTGTTCGGTCACAATGCAGTTATGGCACCAATGGCTGAGAAACAACTCAAAATAAATAATAATGCCAAAAGTGCTAACATAAAACCAGTCAAATATGTGCTCAGCCAAACCAGTCGAAATAAACTAACCCAAACAAAATAAGGAGGAGGATCTAATCTCCAAGACCTCCAAAAAAGCAATCCCACGTACAGAACTTGTTATATACATTCGAGATTTGGAACAATGAAGACCTTATGATTCCTTAGAAGCCAGACGTTTACCCAAAACTTCCAATACGCACATCAGACATCTACAATGGCGCCAGAAACACCAACAAGCCTCATACAACAACTTAAATTCAAATGGGTTCGCTTTAAGCTAAGTGAGACAAGCAATACAATCAAAATCCGCCCCAATAAACTTATGGAATATGTTAACATATTACAAAATCTTAGCTCCTACACGTATAGAAGAAATGACAACGGAAAGCAGATGCCGCAATGCCCCGTATCCTTTTCATCGTGACAGAGAGACCATAAAATTGATCCTAAACCGAAATACAAAGCAGATTCCACGGCTTGAACCACCAAATAGTCGATAATATATGAGAGAAAGCCGGATAGAAGAAGAGTGAAAGAAGTAGCCGGAAATAAACATACGCGTATCGCCTGAGAAGATGGAAACAAGTTGCAATTGAGTGTGGAGCTGAGTAGCGGGGAGACGAAGGGTAATGTTACCTGTGTGGAAGATGAGAAAACGATGGAGCGGAAGAACCCCGGATTTGGAAGAGGGTTAGGGTTCAGCATTAGTGTTCAGCAGAAGCCCTACAGTTGGTGATTGTCATTATTTAAAATAATAAACCTGATTTATATAACTTAATCCTTATTTAAATTTACCGTAAGATGGACCGATAATAATATATATGTATATATATATATATATATATATATATATAACTATATCGATCC